CTGGTTTGTGCTGACGAGCAGAATGTTTTACCTAGTTTTGGACAGATCAACAGGTTATTATACTTCTCTTTAATGTGAGTTTCCTGAAGACAGATTACATCTAACTTTTGTTTCACTAGATCCAACAGTACACGTTTTCTTATGGAAGTTATGTTAAGACCATTTATATTTGCTGATAATACATTCGTTTCCCATTCTTCAGTTCCGTTACAGGTTATTCGCTTTGAGGGTGCCTTTAGATCTTGTCTCGATCGGTGACCTTGCTCTTGAATTCTCTCTGCCATGTCTCTCTCACTCTCTGGCCTCTCCTGCCTCCCGCCCCTCCAGTTGAGTTTCAATTATAGTGTCCTCCTATCTTAAAAGTCCTTCTTTATTAAACCTCTCATAATCTACTAATAATATTTCCTGGAATTCTTGAGCTTTCGCCAAGTTATCTATCCGGTACTTCTTTTCCCTCCATGTTATTAACAATCCTTCTGGAAGAAGCCATCTGAACTGGATTCTGTCTCTGTTTAAGCGTGAAGAGAGGAAGTTGTATTTCCTTCTCTTCTCTCTGATTCTCCGTGGAATCTGTTTTAGGATGAGAATTTCTTTATCCTTGTATGTTAGAGAGTCCCCTCTTATTGTATTTAGAATGTCCTCTCTCAGCTGTCTTCTCAACACCCTCACATGAATCTCCCTTGGAAGCCGATGGCGTCTCGCGAAGCTTGTATTGATTCTATAGACTTCGTCCAGATCGTTAATGACCTCTTTTTTCGGCCTGTCAAGGACTAGTCCCAGGATTTCTCCAATCAGCTCCTGGAGGTTTTCATCTTTTGCTTCCTCCACGTTTTGTAGTCTCAAATAGTATGCTGATCGCTCTAATTCTAGCTGGAGAATGGCCTCCTCCAGGCTTGAGTTTATAAATTCCAGATTGTCCTCTACTTTGTCTATTCTTTTTTCCGCTATTTCCGTTCTCTCCTTAACATTTTGAATTTCCTGTTCATTTTTCTGCAGGGCTGTTTGTATTACTCCTATACGCTCCTCAATCTTTCCCATATTATTTCTTACTTCATGCATTTCATTCTTTACTCCCTCCAGACCTTTGGTGACACTTTCGCCCATCTTCAATATTGCCTCTTGTAGGGAGTTCATTGTTACCACCTGGTCTTGTAGAGCTGGGGCTATCTTGTCTCCCATTTGCCTGCCCTCAGGGGACTTTTCCCTCGCTGGGGTAGATAAAGGAGTTTGCTTTTTACTCCCTTTAATTAAGGTTACTGTTTTTGTTGCCATTTACGTTGATTCAGTTCTCCCCCTTTAGCTGTAAATCTAGTACCTTCTGGTTGCTGTTTGAGTAATTATACAGAGCCCGGGGTACATACAAGGTAATTAAGCTGGAGCAGGGCTGTGAAATATAGGCTCAGTTAATTCTATAGTGCCTGGGAGGCGTCTACTAGTCAGGAAGAAAACGTTTCAGTGTGATAAGACAGGGGACGGGAGAGGCCAGGAAGTATTTAGAACTCACCCATCAATCTCCTCCTGTTGTCAGTACAATGTTATCCTTCTGTCGTCTCAGGCTGTAATATAACACCGTGCTTTTGGTGATTTAAGGCTGGTTCAAACCCTTGTGACTAGAGTTTTTTCCCCTTTTTCCCACGGGGGCAGGACCAGCTGATTATCTTTCTCTCCTCTGACTCGTCCTTCATTAATCCTCAAATTTAAATGATCCAAAGTCTCGGTCTTCCTCTATCCGCTCCGTCGCTCGGCTCTCTCAAATCTTTCCTGTCTGTCTTTACTAGCCGCTTCCACTAAATGCGCCCACACACGTATCTGTATTTATTACAGTTAAGTTGTTTATCTCTTTAGATTTTGGCTTTTAAGTCAGATCTTGCAATTACCAGAGCCAAGGTGGCGCAGTGGTTAAAATGCAGCACTGCAGGCTACTGCTAGATCAGCAGGTCAGCGGTTCAAATCTCACCGGCTCAGGGTT